GCCGTGTAACCGGAAGGTGCAAATGGATTAGACCAACTTTCCGTTAGAGTAATAACTTTGAAAACGCTATAGTTAGATTTGGCGAAAATAACTTTGGGTGTGCAAGTAGCCAGCGACTGGAAACAGGATTACTGTGACCATTTAAAAAAACCCGCCATTTTTAAACCAAATGTAATCGTAGCAACACTGGAACGGCATGCGATTCATGCACAAGCCAGCATTCTGATTGGTTAGTTATGCACAAGCCAGGAAGCGCGCGCGTTCAAAATGCATTTGTGCACAAGCCAAGAAAAAACAGGTTAAATGGTTGAAGCGTATAAACCAAGGAAAGATGGACTGTCAGTGCAAGCGAGAAAATAGCCTGGAACAATTTTAATGATTTATTGCAGGATACCTCTGCTTCTATGCGTGAAATACTTGCCATAGTACGTTTATAAAATAAAAAAAATCTTAACATCACAGAATTCATCCGCGTACCTTAGCGTATCCATCGAACCGCCTTTATTCACACAACTTTCTTCTGTTTACCCACATCATTTCTTACAATCAAAGCTTGGGAGGAACTCGACATTTGTGTTTTAGGAAATCTCGATTCAAACTTGACTATACTCATGGATGTGTAACCATTGTCAAAACTTCGCACTCGGAACGTTAAGTGGTGAATCATTTTTAGTGCTACATATGACTCAGCAAAAGCAGTAGCATCCTACTAAATGACATGTTAACCGGGGAAGTCGAAAAGTTGCCGAGCGCCGTCGCCCGGACTTGATCCGCCAACCCTTAGTTAGGGCCGCCCCCGAGCTTACCCCGCTAGGCCACCGAGCCACGGGTGGCGGCTGGTGGAAATTTCTGTTGAGCAGCTGGGCCTCGTATGCAGTGGTTGTATGTTTCGGTATGGATCACGTGACTATGACCAGCCAATCATTTGCATGAATCGACTTCCCACTGGAACGCCTATGAGCACTGGCGATATTAACTCATGCTCTGGATGGTTGACTAGGGATAGATAACTTCAGTCAAAATTTAGAGGAATGAGCTTCTATCTCGGAACCATAGATCTAGTGGAAAGCAGACAAACAGGACACTTTTTGTGAAAATTCATTGGAATGAGTTCTTGGGACGGTCCAGTGCTCTCACTGTTTATGGTCAAACTTCGATCAACGCTGACAACGCAACAGGACATTGAGCACACTAGAATTTGGATAGGAGCTCATGAGATTAAGTATGTTGCCTCAGCAAAGAATGTTTCGCGTTCACAAGTAACATGGTTTGTCGATAAATTGCGGAAGTATAGTGAACTATGGGCAGCCCTATTTGTGGGTAAGGTTGTCGTGGTAAATCCTTCTTGACCTCGTGCTTTGGCCCATTGATAGCAAGGCGCCTGACGTCATGGATAATGAATTCGTGTTTCCCGAACTCATCGGATTGGCTATGGTAACTTGAGCCATCATAAAGGGACAGGATCACTAGGGAGCGAGACTGTAACTGAGTCATTTGGGGAGGGGGCGGGAGTGGGAGGTGGCGTTGTCACAATTGGACGAGGAAATCGGGCGCCTATGGCTAAATTTCGGACTAAAGATAAGAACGTGCAAAATAGAGTTGCCAGGATGTACCGAGGATATTAAGATCGCTGCTACCAAGAATGTAGGCAACTGAAGACAGTTGCATCTATGACCCACTGTGGCAATTCAGTGGCCCAAATCTTGAAAGTCCCCACATCTTGATGGTCTTGAAGGCCTCGAAATGCAGCATCGTGGTGGAGGTCGTGAGAAGGGATGGTGATTAAAAGGGTGGTCGTGGCTACAGGAGAATGTGTAGGACCAGCATCAGTAGAATGTTTCAACGCCGTAGCCGTGGGTATTTGTAAGACCGTCGAAAGTTATTAGTGTGATGAGTAGATTGGACAAACCCCGTAGTTTATGTGTGCATTCGTTTCAACTGGTTTACGAGATCGCATAACTACCTAGTAATTAGGTGAGAGGGTTGGTCTGTCACGAAGAACAGCATGTCGAAGAACAGAAGGCGCATTATTCAAGTCGGCAAGTAACAGGGAGAGCACGCAAAGCAGATAAACCTTGCGAGAGTGCGAGAAGGAAAACGAAGACTGTCAGTGTCAGCTATTCACCCAGAGTTAGCTAAACGTTTGCAAGTCGATTCGAGGAAAAGTAGCTCATTTGGATTTCTAGACATACACAACTTCTCTGACTTCGGATGCTACAGCTGCATTGTTAGTTAGCTTGTGTTGTTTTTTGATCCTATCAAATAATTTGGAGGCGGAAGACCAGCACGGATTTCAAATCTGCTATTTCAGTCTAACGCGCAGTTCCTCCGAGCATCTGAAAACCTATAAGTCACAGGATGCTCGTACTGCATGGTTCACTGAAAATCGGGAACCATAAATCCATGAAGTGGATTCTGTTTAGGTCTCTTGCTCTCCAGAGGGAAAAAGTTTATTTTCTTTTCGGAATCGTGCTTTTTGAGGTGAATGACACAACTAGTAAGTGATCCACTGATGCAAACCATCAACCAGACTTATTTCCTTCGACTGAGGCTCGAGGCGAAAAGCAGCTATCTATGGGACCTAGCATGAGCTGACTGGTGGGAACGGTATTTGGTGCTTTCGTGACCTCTCAACATATCTAAGGCATCTTTCGCCTCTTAGTAACTATTTAGCACTGCAGTGAGGGCCTGAAAAAATTCTCATATAAATCCTTGGATATCTGACTTAATAATGGTTTGAGATTGCCACCCTCTTATCTACTCTCTCCCACAAAAAACCATTCAATATAGCTCTGGCCGCTAGGGAACAATAAAAGGAAGTGATGAACTTACTGGACTTAATGAAAGAATTCTTTTGCCTTCACCTCTGTAGTCTGCAAACAAGGAATTTCAAACTTATTGATAGTCTAACCGTCCCAATGAGGTGGGATTCTCTGACTACAAAAGCCTTTTCTGTGAATGCGGATGTACCTTCAATTACTCGTAATTAACTAACGATCTGCTTCATTTTTATGGATACGGAATGTCCTTGAATCGATAGATCGAGTCATTACTAACAGGGTTTGAAAGAGGCCTTTCATTATTTTTACGAACCTAAAAGTACGAGTCCTCTGAAGTTTTTTGCTATGTATGTTTAAAGAGAGACCTCTCGTCACACCGAAAGATGGGAAACCCCATACGGACGAGAGTTTTTTGCATTTTTTCCGATTGCGTAAGGGGGTGCCACAAACACTTGTCACCTGTATTTTAGTTTATACTTTGGTTCAAAGAAACACACCCTTATATTATTTGAGACGAGTATTAAATAAATAACGGTGTCAGCGATATTGTAGGATCGTGGCGGAAAGACTAAGCAGTAATCATACGTATTCAGTGAAATACCATAATATAAGTACACGAACCTGGCAGTTTATGACCCCTATAGGCCTGAAAATGCGTGCTACATTTGTGGCTGATGACAATGATGCTAGTGGCATTCGATGCATGGAATGGATAAGCCTAATTGGAATGAAAGCATAGTTTGTCACTAAATAACCCTCAGGTAGTGACCAGTTTGATATTTGAAATTTTAGAAGAATCAAGTGATGACCTCAACTGTATAGTTAGGATTGTTGATAAAGCAAACCCTGGAGAGCTCAGGTTAGGTTTTCAATTCTGTTTTGGGTCGATCCTTAGAGATTTTGTTTAATGATTGTGGTTTAACTCGTTTGATTAACAAATGTCATATTTATGATGTTTTCTTCTTCATCTGAATGATTCACGTCTGCCACCATTTGCTGGGTTCGGGGTTACATTGGAGAGCTCGTCTCTTCAGCTCACTCTTCACGGATTGTTTTCTATTGTAGTATGTGCATGCTGTCTTTGCACGTCTGGTCGTGTTGTTACAGTGTTTCTTTAACTTTATCACAGGGCTTAATCGTTCTTCAAAAACCCATGAATTCAGTGAAAAACGACTCCAAAAGCAGAAATGCAGTGCCTACTGTAGCGACCCAGTCACCCACATACTTGACTCTTCAACTCAGCCGTTCACTGGATCGCGAGGATTGTCTTTCTCATACGCACAAACACGTCGCATTAAGCTGACTCATCGGACATCGATTGTCTGCACCGCCTAGTCAGCGTAGCGACCAATCATGTGACGACGCGCCCACGTTTACGCACTGGGACCTACATAAAGAGAAACCAAACCCAGTCAAGACACAGACTCGCGCGCGCGCAGGGAGCAGGACGTCAACCTCTCCACAAGTCCACGGACAACCATGGAGTACGTGTAGCAGTCTAACTGCGGAGAAAAACACGTTCCCGCCGTCCGGACTTCCACCAAGGGACTCTCGCATCCGATAAGTTCCCTTTTTGACTTGCTCCCATTTCACATTGTATTTATTTTTATACGTGTCGCAGAAATACTAAAAGCTTTTATTAGTGCACATTCACCTTCTGATTTGAATTATGGCTATCATCACCTGTGCACTAATACCTACCACCCAGAATGTTGAGAGTCATCGCGCGGCGGCCGGTTTCCGACCAGTATGGCACACTTTCCATCAATTCATGTTACCCAGGTTGCAATTTTAAAGAAGACACGAGAGACGATGCTCCGGAATGTGTAACATACGGCTGAGGCATCCAGTCAATTTTTTGGCAGTTGTTCGACTCCAACTTGGACGTATAGTCTAATCGGCTACAAAAGTAAAGTTATTTGACAAACCATGACTTCACGCAAACCACAAACAACCCTGAGGATTTTTGCCTCTAACTAATAACTTTTACGCTCATATTCTATAGGGTCAGCCATAACTCAGTGCGAGTAACCCCAGAATGAATGGCACAGTAAACCAAACGTTTTTATACTCACAAGGTTGCTGAAAACTCTTCGACAGCCCACGACTGGTTTCTCTCTTCTTGAGGCTCCTCAGGTAGGCGCAGTCCCCGAGTTTCCGTCAACCTTATGTTCTCCTTGAACCCAAATTTGACTCTTTTCGAGAAACACACTCATTTGCAAATCACTCAAACGAGAGACTCAACTGAATCTCTCATTTATGATATTCTACAGCTGAATGCGCTGCACACAGGCCACCTCATGTTTCAGTCGGCACGATATTCGAGATATCGCAATATATTTAGAATATCATAAACGAGAGATTCAGTTGAGTCTCTCGTGAAAACCTATTTGATTTTCAAATGAGTCTATTTCTCGGAAACCAAAATTTGTTTGTTCGATTGTCATCAGCCTAAACCATTATGAATTCATACGAAAATAACTGGTAGTCATGCTAATCCCAAGAGCTACATGCAAACATTCACATATTGGGGAAATCAAAACAATCGTGATACAAATTACCTGTGTCAGATGTAGGAACCCGGCTAAACTGAGTACAGACCTACAGAAGCTCAAAGAGACCGAGCCTATTCTCATTACACTAGGTTCACTTTCCTGACAAAAGTTCAATGTACTCAGGAGTCGATATATTCCGGCTTTTGGTTTCCGACTGCTTTGAGCATCCCAGGCCGGTTGAGTGAAGAGCATCCATTTTTCTTGTGGTTATTTATCTCGATGAAAACGACGATTGTGCATGAGCTGGAATTCACTTTTACACAGTCCAGCATAGTGAGGCCGTATTAATATGTGAAGTCTGGTAGGCGCCTTGTTGTCCGACCAAAGGACGATGCTTGAATCGAGCATACGAACGAGTACACGAAGAATGTGTTCCTAGATTTCCGCAGTTTCTCTTTCAAATGAAACCTGATAACGAGGGCGTGCGGGATTCAAACACGGATCGGTGGTGTCATATGTCAGTCAGAATATTTTTTGAGCTTTTTGTAATCAGCGCTGCAGTTGAAAGCCTCTTAGAAGGAGGGCGCAATTGTTTTTCCTTACGTAGTGTAACTTATGGTAATGTTTCCATTAAGCGAATGAGATTCCCCAAGGACCGTTGTGGGAAGCTGTTCATGTTGAACAATCGTCCCAGGAATTTTAGTTCATCTTCTTGGTTTTGTCGGTCAGATGTCGTGCTTGGATCTTCTTCTGTTTGAGTAAGACAAAGCTGTCAAGAAAGTTGTATTCTGGGCTGAGTGAAGAGGGTGATCTGTCCAATGGTTACCTTAAATTCCCAATGTAAAGTGGATAGTGCATATGAAGTAAGCAAATTACGTCCAAGACAGCTATGTAAGCCACAGGACAAGGAGACTGCCGCTCTCAATCGAACCATAAAAGCAATAATTCGTTTATGTAAGCGGCAAAGTAATGAAAACATGATAGCTAGTTTTCGTTCATTATCTCAGTGGACTAGGTATTGATATCCATCTACTGATGGTTACTAGCAATCCGATAAGTAGTTTGCCTATAGAATAGCAAACAGTATCCAGGTTGCTGGGAGAGGATTATGAGGGAAGGCCGGGTTAATTCACATTTGATAGAATGAACAAACGATAAACCTCGTTTTCGGGGAGGTGACTTGCATACTAACCATATGTTTTGTCTCGCTCAGTTCCCGTTTAACCATCTGGCAGATTAAAGTTCGTTTGGCTACATTCAACCATGGATTGCTGGTGCATCAACACATTGTCACTGAGTTGTTGGCCACCGCTGAAGTCTATCCTCAACTTTGGTGAGTTAAAAGTTTCTCCTGTAAGGCGATCGGCTAACAAGTAAAACGCGTAACATGTGTTACTTTTCAGTCGTATGATGCCCAGACAGATATTTTGAAGCCTTTTGGCCTCCATGCTTTTGGTAGTCTTTTGGTTAGTCTCAGAAAATCCCTTCTTTAAAACATGTATTAATCCTCAGAACAGATTTTCGTATGTTTAGTGATCTTGCGACCTATGCAGGTCTGATAACTTGCGGGAGTTTCCTGGCTTCTGAGCGGGAGAATGCTGGTATAGTTAGTAGAATTTCAGTTGTTCAGTTTCTACCCTAAGTTGGAAGATCCTCGAACTGAGCTGAGGCTACTTTCTTTTGCAACTTCATATTTTGGAACTTGAAGGTGGCATCTCAAAAGACATTTAGAAACCAAGTATGCATATGCCGCTCACGCTGGCTAACTCATTAGCAATAAGGAAATCCGAATCTGATTTGATTGGTAAGGAACTTCAGTCACTACGGCTGTCTTATTTCAGTTAGCTTGAGAATTTAAGCGTATCACTTTCTAGAACAGGTCCTCAGAAGTGTACCAGGTTTTTTGACGGTTGATCTTCGAAACCAAATTTTTTTGTTTATGTCTAGTTTGACCTATTCATGGGGATCGGTGGACAGGCTTCGAAATTTCCGCATGACCCTATTCTTCTTTGAAAACAACAACAACAAATGGACATTTTATAGCATAGGAGGTAAAACAACAAACGTTAGAAGAGTGATTACACCATAGAATCTGCAAGATCATCCAAATTGCTTTTCATTGTGCTAAGGTTGCCAATGGTCACCCGAGCACTGAAACCACAATACTGAAAACATGTACGCGTGATACCTAGGTAACTGCAGCACCGAACGAGGAGGGGGGGGCAAGCGCAATCAAAATAGCTATTTATATGTTCACTGTAAAGCTGAGAACGTCTTCACTGCACCCAGGGAGTTGGTAATGAACGGGCTGTATCTACTTGTTATTACTTGTATCAGTGTGTTCTGTGCTGCTGAGCACTTTGTTTCGCTTGCTGAAAAAACTGCGGATTTTTGTGTGGCCAACGAACTGTGCGCGCTAAGCAGCACAGCAGATCGCGTGCACTTTCTGGTCGGCCGAAATGTTTTCATGAATGGTCGGATAACTAAAGATCTCAAAACCATATGGACGAGTATCCACAATTTTCCACCGGTCAATAGCTTCATTTCCACTGTGTGGTACGACAGTGATCCGCGAACGAATGAAGCCGTGGATATGACCGAGTTTGAGTGGAGAGTGGATCCGTTCACCCCTGATGAACCTCTTGCTCTTGCACAGGTTGCTAAGAAAGTACTAATTGCCAGCTCGCTTGCTCGAACATCAACTCGTGAAGTGCTATGTGAATATTTCTCGAAGTCTGAAACCAGAATTCTTCGAGCCAAGTTCAAAGACTGTTCTGTGGAAGAGCAAGCGTTTGTAATAAAATTTGATTCCATCCCTCACGCTTGCTTTAATGAGAGGCGGGAGAAAACAAGCGTAGGTTGTGTCACCAGGTGAGGTGAACTGATAAACTTCGACATTATCTTCAGAATGTCACAACCATTTATTCTACACATGTTCACTGTTCTACTAGAGACGGAATGCCTTATTACACAATAGTATATCTGAGTTTGAGGAGTACCACTCATCCATTATTAAGGTAAATCAGGAGCAACAGTTAGGATTGAAAAGTTAGTCATATGACATCTTCTGATGGATCCAGAGGTTTTTTCGCCAGCCACCACCGCAATACGTGTCTTCCCTAGAAAAAAGACTGTTGCTTGCTCATGGAGATAGTTTCCGAAAAAAACACTTTAGCAGGATTTCATTTACTTTCCTGTCACTTTCTTTGTGGGCCACCTACTAACTGGTCTGTAGAGTATTGATTCCCAGAGCAGCATGAATCGGACATTTACACGTGTTTCGTAAGCTTTGTTTTAGAAGTACGGCTCAATTAACCTGTGACCATGATAACAAAACAAGTCCACTAGAAAACGTTTGTTGGCTTTTGCTGAGGGGACTTCGAACGCATAGCGTGTCAGTAACTAGAAGCACCAAATCTGTCGCCTGCCGGGTTCTCGTATTTAATTTACAAGGGCATTCAAAGAAACATGGCTAAACTTCGACTCAACACGAAGGACACGAAGATGGTCTTGGCAATTTTATTAGACAAGAGTTGATGCAATTCACTTTCGAAGATTGGCCTGCGCGGTCTGCCTTTGCTGAAACCGGTAAACGTGACATTCGTTCTTGTCGATTTCTGTTCCAACTTTCTCTGTGAGTTTTTTAGGGATGTAAACGGCCTGGAATAACAAAAACTAACCTAGACTTTTCGGTTTTCATTCTGAGTGTGATCTTTTTCAAGTTGAGACTTTCTTCGATTCGATGGTGATGACTTCCTAGTAGTCACCCCGGAGTTGGACAAATTAATTTTCTAGTAGTGAAACATGCTTTGTAAAACATGGAGTAAGTGCCACCGGATGGTGAAAGCCGGTGGCCAGAACAAAGCTACTTGATAAACAAACTCATTTGTAAATCAATTTGGTTTTCACGAGAAACTCAACTGTATCTCTCGTTTATGATATTCTACAACTGATGGTGCTGCACACAGGCCGCCCCATGTTTCAGTTGGCACGATATTCGATTTTCATGAGGGAAACTACTCACAAGGTTGCTGAAAACTCTTCGACAGCCCACGAGAGTTTTCAGCAACCTTGTGAGTAGTTTCCCTCATGAAAATCGAATATCGTGCCAACTGAAACATGGGGCGGCCTGTGTGCAGCACCATCAGTTGTAGAATATCATAAACGAGAGATACAGTTGAGTAAACAGATAAAACCAAATTGATTTACAAATGAGTATACTTCTAAAAACAGTCCAATTAGGGTTCAAGTAAAACATAAGGTTGACGGAAACTCGGAAACCGCGTCCAGCTGATGAGCCTCAAGAAGGGTGAAACCGGTCGTGAGCTGTCGAAGAGTTTTCAGCAACCTTGTGAGTAGTTTCCTTTATGAGAGCTATTTGATGTTAGTTGAAAAGTATCAGCAGTGCGCATCATCATGGCGAGTGATAGAAGCGATTCGAACCCGTGACTCCTTGCCACTGGTTAAAAATTAAAGCCCTTTACCACGAGTGACTAACCATTAGGATAATGAACATGCACCGAGACAGAATGTAGCAACACTTGCATGTCAGTCACGGAATTCGCGTCACGCGAGTGACTAATTCAACTGAAGAGTGAAATCCCGATTGACCGGCTATCATCGTATTGAGCTGCGTCGAATTCAACTTTTGGTTGATTCTTATTTCCCACTGACAGAAGCTCATATGTCATACACCTCACGACTCGTCATTTTTACCTTACTTTTCATTCGTGTTGGTAAAGTTGCACTTCTATGGTGAATTGTTTTTCTTCTTGGCTATGACAATGTATCGTACAACTATTAATTTTCTTTCGGAAATTCAGGGTTCAAGCATTTCGAACTACTTAACTAGGAAAATAAAATAATACATTTACGTTTCTTGCAGAAACCATGTGAATAATATTCATCATGTGGCTAAAGGTTTCGTTAGAAGGATTTTGGATATGTTTCCTAATCGATTTTGGGCTTAGTGTTGTCAGCAAGGGGATGCCGAGTTTATTCACTGCAGGTAAATAACCTCTTCATTGTACTATTCAGGTGTGCAGTACATTGCAACAAATTTAATAAAAGTGCAGCTGCCTACCATATGATCTGCTGATCACTGCTATCCCGTGTCCCATTGCTCTTATCGTGTTTAGGCTATAGTCAACTGAGTAAGCTTTGCTCTGGAAGAACTCATCCACACGTCTACCCCCTATTGTGAAGGAATTCGAACTTTGAACATTTGACGGGTGAGGTGAGCGTGTCACTCCATCGGCGCCTTGTATTTACCTGATTTCTGAATAGGTAGATATGCTGACTAATGTATAACAAGGGCCGGACGACGTAAAAGACAATTCAACAACCATCGTGGCTATATAGCTCGATGTAGGTGGTTGTCAGAACTCTGGGCTGGGTAGCGTGGTTTTTAACTCTACCTAAAATTCCGTTTGATTAATGTGTGGTTATGGCATTCGCATACCAGAATGTCATTGTACACCTGAAGACCAACTTTTTCTGCTCCAACCGGTTGTCTTCCACTGAACAGTGGCTTATTAACAGTAAAATCGATTTGTATCGTGTTTCCACGTTTCCTTGATCCAGAAAATCTGAATTCAAGTCACAAAATTTCCCGAATTAGTTTCGCTTTTGAATAGGTTTTACCATCCCCGCATATAGGAGAGTGGGTTTTGCACAATCGTACAATGGTACACCACACGAATAAAGACAGCACGAATACAGCATAATAATGCATGTTCTTCCTTCTCCTTTCCATTTTTTACACACAGGTGTGCGAGCAACCCTCACTGTCGCTCCATTTATTACTCCAATGTTACAGGTAAATGTATTTCTGTCCTGTACATTCATGTTTACCTGCCTGCGCGATATCGGGACGGTACAAAACGCTGGATTTGTTTCCAAAAGATTGTATGAAGCACACCAATGTCACATGAAAGTCCATCAACGTCTGTGTGATTCCTGTGGAAGTTAGTCTCTACTTTGTTCTAGCATGAAGTAAAAATAAACTTGGTTTATGCGTGTTCATCAGCTAATTTTGGCTCACGACCGAAGTGGTAGTTCGGGTGGCCTATGCATGGGATTGGCTTGGAAACCTGTCCACTTAGACAATGACTGGCGATTGCCACCCACTGTCTCCGTGATCAACGCAGATGAAAAGTGTGGAAGTGAATTTCCTATTTCTCTTTTAACTACTGATGAATCTATTCAGTAAAGTATATCGGAAAGACTCAATGTGGAGCACTTTACAAACCCTCCTCACTCCTTGAGGTAACGTGTGTATATTCAGGAACAATATATCAATGCACATAATGCCAAGGTCACTTAACCCATACGGTAGAGCCTGAATATCTGGAAAATATATGCAACAATAAAAAAGAATCGAGGATATACACGAAGGTCTATTTTGATGACACCAGGTTCTACTAACAACCGATAACTTTTCGGGTTGTAGGAGACTAATCTTACTCTCCAGCAAAAATGCATTTCAAACATCTAATGTGGCAGAAAACCTCTGTATTCAGGAAAGATCCCTGGAGAATGGAGGGTCAGGTAATAGTGGAGTGAGGGCATTGTGACACGTATCTTGACCATCCCTCACATATGCTTTCAATGAAGTGACTCGAATCATGTCGGATTATTTGTGGCCAAGATCTACATATCAAATTCATTAGACCAAAGTTCTTGCCGGATTGTGTTCGCTTTGGTTAAAATAAGGAGAAAAATAATTTATCAGGAACGCCAACAACTGAATACCCACCTCTATCACCCTCGTTATCGCCTGTGTTAAACAACACCGGTGCGATATTGCCATGTTTGAGACACGCTTCATTGGAGTATGGCTTTGAAAAAGTTTTTCTAGTATGATCAATTTTTTCCTGATCGGGAAAATAGCGTAGTAAATTGTTATATGCCTTCGCAAAGGAGTGTGTGCACATTAGAGGAAATACGTTTTGGCTCACCAGAAGATTAAAAAGGCACTCATAAATGAAGTTGAGTAGAAAATAACAAATTAAACCAGCAGTTTCCATCTCCATGCAATAAGTGATTCAGGGATATCTAGCTTTGTGGAAATCCGTCCACAAAACTATAAGCAATTCTTTATGCAACGGTTGGACAGAGTAGGCTTTGAGAAATTCATGAACAGTAAGTACAATTATCGGTTTGACTTCGACAGTGAAGTATCCTGCCTTGTGAGGCAGCTGCATGCAATGCAAAACGGTTCATTTGCAAAATATATCTTTCACTCTAAAAATGGGTGCGGTGAAGCCGCATGCACCACTCAACTAATTGGTTGCATTGGGCCAGGATGTAACGTTTTAGTTACTTTATGTATTACTAAACCTGTACAATAATAGACATACAGCGTGAACTTGGCCTAACGTGAAATCGATGAACGTCGAAAGTATGTAATGTCTATTGTCGAAATTATAAACTTAGAATTGTTCACTTCAGACAAACTTAGATGATCTGATCGCAACCACTCAGAAAGCCATCACATCAGGTCACAGATCGATACCCTATGTGGAGCTGATTCTTATCCAAGTGCGAGTTAACCAGACTGCCAATCAACCTCTCGTAGCCGAAAGATTAAGAGTTTGAACTAGTAGCCGAAAGGTCTAGAGTATTAGCCTCTCTGGAGTTTTGAGAATTGCACACTGTTGATGATTCCCAACGAGGATGGAACAGTTGTACAAGACTTCTCGGCTTTCCATCATAGATAGAAAGAATTTGTAGATCATTTGGGGAACTATTCAACAATCAATCAATGGTTCTTTGTACGTACGCACTTGTGGGCGCGTGAGGGTTTACGGGAAGCCTTTCAAAAGCTTTCATACAAGCAGTGGTGTCAGACCTATCTACCACCTTCCCCATTTTATTTTAAACTTCGTCTTTGGTGAGTAATAAAGCTAACAATGAGGAGTCTTTAAATCCCCGGGGTTCATATCTATCCAAGCAAGAACACTGTGTGTCTGAAATATGCAGGCGAAGTTTTTAGCATTTTTGAAGAACAACACGAAGTGCAAGCATTCGCGGACGAACTGACCGATGTCATCTGGTCCTTTGGCAGGTACTTCGAATTAGTACCACAGGACGTACACTCTTTAAACGTGGCTTTACTGATTCGAGGACCGATACGAGAAGTTGTGGAGCGCTATAAGAATTTCAGAAGTTACATCAGCTCTAACTGTAGTGCAACGGACGAAGTAAACACATGAGTTTCAAAGACGTGAGTTGCTTTCGCAAAACTGCCTTATTTGTTGCGTCAAAAAGTTATATCAGTGGGTCTCAAGAGGCAGTGTATCAGACTACGTCTGGGAGTGGCTTGCAGTATGGTTGCAAGAATTGGACACTTTGGGATAGTGTGGCTGTGTCATGTGTACGCCGAGTTATCGTTTGCCGGGAAGAGTGCCATTTTTGGTTTTCTACTCCGAGGTGGCGCAAAGCTAGAGGTGCGTAGGATTGGATAGGGATTTCCCGAAAAGTCTGGGTTCTGCCGTTGATGATCACCTCTCAGGATGGAGTCCTCGTGACCTTCCTGTATTTGGCTAGACACTGAACGGTATGGCACCTAATCAATATTAGTGGTGTTCTTGGCTTTAGCAAGTAGCTGAATTGTCTGATTGTCAGTGGTGTAAACAGCTCACATTTACGAGGCAAGCTAGCCCCAAGCTTCGTCGTTATCCCATTACCCCCTTTCACTTTTATTCCAATAGACCGACACGGCCGTACGGCATTAAATCAACGGTGTTATCATTTGCCCTTGCTGTCATTTATGATGATGACTGAACAAAAGATGCTGACATTTCATAAATCCTATTTTCAAGTGAAGCTGTTTTTTACTGTTTCTTTTGTTCAGTTACACTGAACAAAGCAGGACTCTTGAAGTTAGATCAAATTGATGGAGGAATGGAAAACAATGTAGCGGGGTTATTTATCTGCATTCAGATTTGTCCTTCTGCATATACAGTGATGTTCTCGGAAGCAATAACTTTTCTTAATGCTTGAGAAAACCCACACTGAGAACGCTGATTTAAACGCGGTCCATGCATATGGTGTCTGTGAAAGGAGGTCTCGCTATCTTCCAAGCAGGACCAAGGTTTCATTTGAGTTTTCACTCTGTAAGTAAAGCCGCTCTCTGTTGTGAAGAGGAGAAGCAAATTTTACATCCTTAATGGGAGACGTTAGCAGTGAGCATCTTACAAAACTTGAGGGATTATCGAATAGGCGACATCCCGGTCAGTATTATGAAGGCTTAGCTCTTCATCCACTAGCTGATGAAAATCAGTGCGATTAACTAGCACTGGGACAATATGCGGAATACTACTTTAATAGTATGCCCTTAATTACTTTGCTTTATTGGTTGTTGATCAGAGTACTGTTGATCTGTTCTCCGAGCTTGGCAACCGACTTGCAAATGTTTCGTCACTATACGAGGAGACATCATCAGTGGGCAGTTGGGTGGGTTTTAGTTGGTCTAGAACAGTTGAATACTAAAATGGTATGAAAACAAAGCCATTTTATTTCTTCAAAGGATGGAATGAACATAATGAATTCTTTTGGTGGAGAAATTCCTTATCTGATCTAGTTTTTCCCGAAAAGTATACCCAGCTCAGCTTATCATTGGGTTTCACTCAGATGGTGGTCACCGCCTGGCACTGAACGTCAGCCTAATGTATCATATACTACTGACTCTATGGAAGTAGTTAACTAAATCTAACAAAATTCAAACGATTTGGGGAATTTTTAGAATCCGTCGGCTGCAGTTATCCTAGGCTGCTACTCCCCTTCCGGAATTTCACAGTGGAGCAAACTCTTGCGCGCATCCGGATGATATATTACCAATGAATAGTTTCACTTAACTCTGAACCAACTGAACGATTGACTATCCGTTCGGTCAGTTGTTCGGACTGACTTCTAGATACTTAGCTCATCTTTAAAGAGTAGGTGGTAATTCTTCTAACGATGTGACTTATTCTTGTAGCTATGTGGCGCTTCTCTTTGAACCTTCGATGTAACTCAGGGTTAATGCAGAAACAGTAAAACAGAAAATAAATGAAACATGAAAAATTAAATGAACGTTCAAACATCTTGTCATGAGTGCCTGAAAAGCATCGGGGTTATCTCGCGATTCTCGAGCTTGCTGCGGAAAAATCACGTTACGATTCAAGTTGACTACTCAACATTTTCTCTGTACTAGCCCTGTCATAGTAAGTACGAATACCACATGAACCGTAGTAGCTTGCCATACAAACAAGTGATCCAAATTAGATCATTATGGACGCATCTCTCCAAACATGGCATACTAAAAACGCGTAGGACAGAACTCTGAGTCCAAGAACCAGCTATGGAAGTTTGTTTCGGGACAGAGGCTACCCTTCAATAATAATTTCATGTTTATCAAATTTGTATGATGAAGGGTAAGTTAACAGTAATTCTTCCGAGAAATAATTCTTCCAAAGTATATTTACCTTCTATTCATTCGATCCCGGTTGGATATTCCAAAGTCATAGGGAGGTCAAATGTCTTTTTACTCGAAACTAGTGCAAGATCAATTCGAAGACTGTCAATATGCCTGGTTTAGTGTGCTATCTAGGCTAAAGCCTGACGAATGCAAAATAGCAGACTGTCCTATAGAACCTGGATTATATGGTTTCAACCAAATAAAAACACACTATTGGTTTGAAGGTTGGTCACATTCCACATTCCCGAGGAATCGTATCCTTTCACTAATTTTGACAAAAGAACGAAGAAAGCAGCTTTCGAACTAAATTTTTATTTACGCGATGAAAGGAGGTTGTTGAAAGCATCTTGTCAACAATGGACAGTACACATTCAAGACCTTGTAAGATTTATAGCGCAAATTAAAGATATTTGATTCAATTTTGCGAATAGAATGAGGAAAGTCTTTTGTAAGACATGGAGAGTAGTCATCAAAATGTAAATAAATGTTTCCAAAAGTGAACCTTCAACATCGTGTGCTGTTAGGACCATCAGCTCAGACGGGACAGTCACGCA